TCTAAGCAAGGCACAGGTCTCCTGCCCTGCTTTCTCCAAATCTTAGGCTACTTCGTGCGGTTGGGCATAGGGGTTATCTAGGGATTACAGGGAGGCTGCAGGAACCTTTTCACAGCAGGGCTGGGAAGGGAGAAGCTGCAGCCACTCGATATGCACTCAGGCTGCGTTGACTTACCCCTGCACCATCAAGTCTTCTCAGCACTGCAAGAACAAAGACTGGGATGGTGTGAGGTGGGAGGTAGCCAGCCAGGGAAAAGGGTGGAAAGGAAAGGGACTCTGGACACAGTGATCGCACTGCCCTTAGCTCTCGGTCACGTAAGAGCCAAAATGTGGCTGAGGGGGCCTTGGAGCGGTGGGCCCGACCGCCCTGTAAGCAGGAAGCCGGTCACACCCCCCTTGTTTTAAAAGGTCAAGCTCGCGAGTATAATGGGCGCTGTGAGCTACATTCTTTTATATTTTCAGTGGTGTGTGCAGTTCATTGCCAGCCAACTCCACTTCTGTTTTGTGTACTCTTGCAGGTCCCTGAAGAGCAGCTGGAGACGAAGGAACAGAAGCAGGACAAGAAAGCTCAGAAACAACAAGTGTGGGTTGGGGTGGACAGGAGGAAGAGAGGCACATGTTTAATGTATGCTTAGATAAGTACAGATGGAGACTGTCATGTGCATCTCTACACTTTCAAACACTCAGTAGGAGCAAGCTGCTGCACGCTTCAAGTTGCACCATGGACTCGGTCTTGGGTTGACCCTATTTGTAGGCAGTGAGGTTGAGGCGTGCTAGTTGTGCGTATTGGGTTGGCCCCGATTTGTAGGCAGTGAGGTTGAGGCGTTGTGCTAGTGCGTATTGATATGTGGCAGTCTAGGTTTTTGCAGGTGGTTTGGCTTTGCTAGTTCAGGAGTTGATCAAAATAGCTGTGACTGAAGGTAGCGTGAAGGGTTTTCTGGGCTAGGTTCTCAGTGCTGGTGTAGAAATGCAGGTTTGTGCTCCGTTCGGTTAGTGTCTTGGCTGTAGCTTGCTTTAGCCGTAGGTTGTGGGGCCAATTTGAGGCTGTTTGTGGTGCAATTTGGTTGCGTCTGTAAGTTAAAGCTCCATGGGCGTTTGAAAGGGTTAATCTCCATCTCCATGCACGAAGATCCTAGCGGTAGTTGGCGTGCTCAGCGTCAAACCGGATGTGCGCAATCGAACAATAAACAGTATAAAAAAACTTCATCTTGTGCCTGGTGCTCTTCTACACCGAGAGGACTTGGCCATTACCCTTTCCTGTTGCGAGCCGGCTGGAGAAATAAACTTTTTCATTCTGTTTACTGATCTGATCTGTCTTACTTGTTGAATAAAAATATTTCCTGTTCTGATTTAAAAATGGTAAAATAATGTGACAGGTGATGCCTAGTCACCATTTTACAACTGTAAATGCACTGTAAGAAATCGGTCCTGATTTATTTGAGGAAATAAAAAATAAGGTACGGTGAAGTTGTGCTTGGGTGCAATCTGTTGAAGTTCAGCTGTCCCTTGTCTCAAATCCCAATAAAAAGAAAATTCTCAGAAAACTTTGTGAGCTGCTTGGTGTTTTCTTAGTCCAGTTGTTTCAGACCGTCTTGTCCGAATGCCTTGAGTACACGTCCTGCTATTTCTAATGGCACGGTGTGGGTGCTTTTTAATACAAAACAAAATGGGCCTGAGGATGCATCTTAAGGAGCAAGGTCCAAGCTCTCCCTGAGCTACCAACTAACTGGGTTCGTTTGGATTATGCTGCCGTAGGATGCAGCTGCCAGGCAGGCACTGGGGGTGTGTAGGGCTCAGCATCCTCCACAGCTATGACCTGCACTTGGGGCATGACCAGACCTGGCTCTGAGGGATGGGGGTGGTGCAGTATCCCTTTTGGGATGTTTCCTTAAGGACAAGAAGGGACTGAGGCAAGGAGCAGTTCAGTGCTGTTACCTTCGAAAACTGCTTCTGCAATGTTCCCCAGGACTGGATGCACGGGGTATTGAAGGGGTGATAGTTAACAGGGTGCTGGGTCCCCTTTTAGGACCACTGGGACTGAGGACTATTGGGGCAAGGAAGTGGCCTAGAGATGCCTGGGTCTCTGCCAGTGCAGAGTTCACGACTCCCCCAAGCTCAGCCCCTTCCAACACCAAGGCTGTGGGCAGCTACTCATCCCCTCCAGCTGGGCTCAGAAAGCCTCCTGCTCTTGTTGAGGGTGAGGGGTGCAGGGCCAGCAACAGTGCCACAGGCTGGGAGCCCCAATCCCTGCTGCAAGCATTCAGCCCAGTGCAAACCATCAATGCTGGGTGCTCTACTGGTGCCATGGGCCAGAGCTGTGGGGTGCTCCGATTTGGGGGCTCAGGCCAAGCTGTGACCCAGCAGCGGCCAGGTGAGACATCAACACTGGAAAGGCTCCGGGTCGGGACCAGTGCTACTGAAGCTCTGCAGAAGCGGAGCCCGTGCAAGCCCTGCAGAACCAGACTCAGCTGCACCCTAACATCGGGGTGAGTTTTGCCACCGAGTCCAATCCTGTGCGCTGAGCAGGAGAAGGGCTTGCAGCAACTGCTGCTGATTTCGGATGAGCTGCACAGCTGCAGTTTGGGTCTAGGGGATGCCCAGCAGGAGGAAGGGAAGTGCTGGGGGCACCCAAGAGCTAACTCTGGGTTTGCAGCAGGCCAAGCAGGACACTTGTGGTCAGAGCCAAAGGGGGACAGGCTCTTTCAGAGGCTCGTAACCGTGCTGGTTGGATACAGCTGGCTCCGGTTGGGAGCAAGGGCTTTGAGGGGCTCTGCATTTGGGTTGACTCGCGCTTCCCTGCCTCTCCTTTGCTGCATTCATCAGTGAAGTTACCCTCTTCCTGCAAACCCGCAACAGCTCCTCTGCTGGACCCACCAACAGCACAGGAGGCAGGAAACAAGGTAAAAAATTGGGGGAATCATGAAATAAATCCTCACAAACTAGCCAAGGTTTCCAGTTCCGTTTGATTTAGTGCTGGAGGATGCCACTTTCCTGGAGCAATTTCCACGTGATAGCAAATAAGAGTATTTTCTGGGCCTGATTCAGAGCAGACCAGTGGAGTTCAAGCAGCTGCGAGTCGTTCTGGGCAATGATCCTCGTTGGGCCTCATGGTATGAAAGATGGGGGTGGGAGATATTGGGGAAAGCGGAGAGCATCTTCCAGAGGGTGCATGTGGCCGTGCCTGTATACAGTGACCTGCAAGAAAGGATGGTGGCAGGAGCTCGGAGACCCTGGTGCTGGGTCAACATCAGACAGAAATTGTCTCTGCTGCACTCACATGCCCCTGCCTGCCAGGCATAACGTGCAGCCAACCAGCCCCAGGGGCCTTGGTCTGGGCAGGGGATAGCGTGACCACCCCCAGGCAGTGCAGGACAAGGCCAGGCACCCTCCTATCTGCTTCCCCTCTGTCTGGCCCCTGCCAGAGCAGCATTAGCAGGGGGCTTGGTTTGTAGCAGGGGCATTTAACATAGACCGGGGCAGTCACACGGCACCATCTCAGGCCCGGGATGTTCTGGGCTCAGCGCAAGTCAGCAGGACTGAAAGGAGCCGCGAGCAGCCACGTGATGCTGTGAGCGTGCGTCTGCACGGGCTTCCCCTCTGTCTGGCCCCTGCCAGAGCAGCATTAGCAGGGGGCTTGGTTTGTAGCAGGGGCATTTAACATAGACCGGGGCAGTCACACGGCACCATCTCAGGCCCGGGATGTTCTGGGCTCAGCGCAAGTCAGCAGGACTGAAAGGAGCCGCGAGCAGCCACGTGATGCTGTGAGCGTGCGTCTGCACGGGGTGGCCCTGGCATGGTGCCCGTGGCCGTCCCCTCAGCTGTGCTGCTGCCCTGGCTCAGCCTAAGCAGCAGGCATCCCAGGAGGAGTGCCCTGCATCACCCCTTGTCTCCAGGTCCATCTGCCCCATGGTGCAGGGGTGACAGCAGCTGCCTGCTCTCTGCAAGGGCTGCGCGGTTGAGGCCTTGAAGCTGGACCGGGCACAACACAGCTGACTGGGGGAGCTGGGTCCTCCCCATCTCCACCCTGGGGACAGGGAACTAATTAAGGGGCACGCTGCTACCAGTGGCCTGCCTGCAAGCCTCTGCCCCTGCTCCCTACCTCATTGCTGCTCATTTCTTACCAGACTCACGCAGCGTGCTGCTTGCGTGCCACCAGACTGACCAAATCGGTGTAGTCTGAGATGGATCCGGGAGCAGGTTCTGGAGCCTCTTGGATGTGCTCAATGATACACCCAGCATCTCTTACAGCTGCCTCCACCGACTCCCGGTCCAGGCCCAGGCAGGAGAAGTTGTGCTGCCCGACCAAGTAGTAGGTTCCTTTCAGGACTGTATTTAACACCAGGTGTCCCCCCGGCTTCACCAGGGAGCTGATGTTCTTCACGGCTGCACGAAAGGTGCCCAGGTCTTTGCAGGCAGCTTCCAAGCACAGCATGGAGAGCAGGCAGTCAGCCGCGGGCAGCGTCACGGGGGCCAGAGGGTTGGGTTTCCTCACATCGCACTTCAGAACCTGCTTCACTTTCTTCCTTAGTTTCTCTTCCTTCTCAGCCCACTTTTCCCTGGGAGGAAATGTCTAGTGAGTGATCCCCTGGGGTTACCTGCCTGCCTGGGGGCTCGTGTACAGAGAAACAGGAGGATGTTCAATGAAACCAAAAGGCAGAGCATTAAAATGGACAAAAGAGTGTGCTCTTGCCCATGCAATGCACAATTAGGTTGTGGAGCTTGCTCCCGAAAGAGGCCAAGAGCTGGGCAGGAGGTGGAGACAGCAACATACTGCCAGGACCAAGGGGCTGGATTAAAACCACCTTGCTGGCTCTGCACCATCCCTGGATTACAGCATGAGTGATAACCAGGAGGTCCCCTCTGCTGGGAAGAAGGTGCTAATTCAATTAATACGAAGTGAGGACTGGCAGGGACCTCAGTTCAACCCCCTGCTCAAAGCAGGACCATACTCCATCATCCCAACCTCGGCTTTGTCTAGCCGGGTCCCTCCAAGGATGGAGATGCCATCACCTCTCTGGGTAACCTGTTCAGTGCTTCACCACCGTCCTAATGAGAAAGTTCTTGTTGATATCTAACCTCAACTTCCCTTGCTGCAACTTGAGCCCATTGCTCCTTGTGCCTAGAGGGACAAACTCCTGCAGTCGCTGCGTACAGACCTGACGGTTGTCGTACCATGAATTGTTTGCACAGCCTCATTCACCTAGTGCCAGTGGTGCGCAGTACATGGTGCAGTGCCGCAGTAGGCAGATTGCTGGATCTAATAGAGGAAGCTGCACGCTAATGCCCATGCCTCTCTGAACCAGGTAGTGTCTAAGGTGCCACCCTGCCCTGCCTTCTGCCTAAAACAGATATCCAAAACTACCTCGTTGCAATAGCGTGACCCTCGGGGGTTAAGCCAGTGAGTGTGGCAGGGCCAGCCTGGCTGTTGTGCCTCACTACAGAGCCTGGCACAGTGGAGCTGCAGTGCTGTATTTCCTACCAGAAGGGCTTTTTTTGGTTCCTATATTAGAAACTCTCCCTGCATCCAACACACTTCTGCTCTGACAGGTGCCCCAGGAAGAGTATCGTTGCATTTTCATCTCGCGGGCCACCACGAGCCCTCGTCCCCTCCAGGACAGGGAGGGAAAGGCCCCTTCTGCCTTAGTGGGTGCCAGCAGTCAGGCCCCTACCTCTGTCCCTCCAGCTCGCACACGTATTTCACCGCCGGGGTCCAGTCAAACGCTCCCGGCTCCTTCTTCAGCCACTTCTCCAGCTCCTGGCGGTTCCCGTCCGTATAGTCCGAAATGATGATCTCGTTAAACTTCTCGCAGGCAGAAAGGAGGTGGTAAATGGTGGGGCCGCTGCCAATATCTATCAGGGTGTCGCCCTTCACATCACCTGCGTTGGAACGGGGGAGAGCATCGTGACCCTGGCACGGGAGGCACTCGCTCCTGTCTGGGGGCTGTGCTGGCTGCGGGTGCTTGCTCCTAATTGCTGCCTCGTGCGATTGCACGGTGCGAATTGTGTAATTTTTTTTAGTGTGCTTTGAGCTGCCAAGTGAACCACAAGGCACTTGGCAATGGTGAACGCTTGGCAATGTATTCACATGACAGGTGGCAGACTTTACATACTGCCCCTGGCTCCAGAGAGGAGCCGACAGCATGTGATGCACACAGCGCTGCAGAAAGCTGCTCCGTCCTGGCCCTACGGCTGCTCACGACCCAGACAGCGGGTTTGTCCCTTGTCATTTGTATTGGCCAGACA